TAATCTAACTTTATATTTCTTTTCCATGTAACAACTATGAATTTTGTTATCTTTTATTTTTGCTTCTTTAGTTTGTAAATGTTTCAACTACGAATCTATTTACACCATCTATTGTCACCTTCATTCTATTTTTATACACTATTTTAAAAATATTTTTTATCGTTTTAAGCTTCATCTTCCTTAAGATAAATTGGTTTACAAAAAAATTCAAACCCGATTATACCCACCCGCTTAAATCCGAATCCGTTTCAACCCGAACCGTCTCAAATCGAAAGCTCAGTCGGTCGGATATGGGTCACATTTTTTCAAAGTCGGTTTACAATAGGTTGGACATTTTTCACCCGAACCCGACCAAACTCACCCGTTGCTCACCCCTAATAAAAAATATCTAATTTTATAAGATTAAAAAAAAAGTATTTCAAGGATAAGAGTCACAATAAAAGTCAAAATTAAACACAAAGCCTTAAAATAAGTTCAACAAAATAAATTTATCATCAAAAGCATAAAATTAAATATCTTTCGTATGTCAATAAAAAAACATAACAAAAGAGACATTACAAATAAATTAACAAAGGGGATCGTAAAGATTAAAAAGTTGTAAGTATAAATATTAAAAAGATATATCTTAAATTATTAAACTAAAAAATTAAAAATAATAAATTAAAAAATAAAATAAAAATTATAAAAAAATATATAAGGTAAGTAAGTTAAAAAAATATTATAACATGAGACTCGTAACAGCTGGCAATTCTCCAATCTCCAGTTTAAATGGTTGGATTTGTCCTTTTATACGATGAGAATCTCGTACATCTAAAATATCTATATAAGCTTTTTGTTTGGAAAATAATATCTGTAAAACAATTTTGTTATATAATTTATATACCATTACTTTTTGTACTTATCTTTCTCATCCTTAATAAAATGTAATAAATTATGCGAAAAAAAAATAAACAAAATTATTATTGTAAGATTGTGTAGCATGATAAAGTTTGACAATACAGTATAAAAGTATTAAAATAATACATTTAAGTTTAATTCAATCCTATAAAATTGATTTGTAAAGTGAAGATTGTTTTTTACTTATATTTTATTTAATTACTTAATTTTTGGTTGATATGAGACTTGGGTTTTTTCCAATACACTCTCTCATATGCCTATGACGCATGTATTTAAGGTGAGTGATCCATTTAAAGTGAATTTAAATGGCTCTGATACTATCTTAGAATAGTGGAATAAGCATAACTCAACCCTATAAAACCGGGGTGTAAAGTGAAAGCCTTTTTTTTAATGACAGGACTTGATAAGTGACTTATTTTTAAGAATTTAGGATAGCTCTGATATCATCTTTGATATCATCTTAGAATAGTGGATTAAGCCTAATTCAACGCTACAAAATTAACTTAAAAAAGATTATTTTTTATTTATATACTATTTAATTCTAATTAAAGTGGGACTTCAATTTTTTCTAATAAAAAGTGAGAGATTTGGAAGAAGGTGGCACTGACAGAGACTCTGGGAGGCAAGTGATGAGAACATGTCGTTGTAAGGAAGAAGGAGAAGGAAAAGAAACCCAAAGACTCTTCAAACTTTCTTCCATGCTAATAAAAGGAGCACAAGAAAATAAAAGCTCGGTGTTCTAATTTCTTGGATTGTTTTGATGCACAGTCTCCCCAAATTTAAGACAAACTGATCACCATGTGCTACTCTGGTCCTGTCTTCTAAATTCTTCAATAATATGATTACATATAGTTGAGAAGTGGGATTTCTTTCAGCATACTTTCTCTGTAAGTTATGCACTTTTTAACTCTTATCCATATCTATTAAGATATAAATATTCTGTTTTAGCCCTAAACACCCCTTAATTATATATAAAATGACTTAATAGTTTGCCATAGAAAAAGTAATAAGATGTTATGGTGTAGTGTCCATTAGGCGCATGCCTTTTTGATTTGAGAAGATGTCTCTCTCATGGACAACATTGTCAGAGCGAACTGTGATGTGCATTAGGACTAGGAGTCGAATCAAATTTGGCGCATATTTGGTTTAGGCATTGAAGAAAGTCCAATTTGTTTGTCTCCTAGTTGAGTGAAGTTGGCATGTGGAAGTGGAAGCCACCATTAAATGTTTTCCTCACCTCACTATCTACAAAACATGTCAGTGTTGTCGGCACACACGCACATCACATGCACTTTGCCAGTGGCTAACTAAAAATGAAAGCCCGAATGCAAGCTTTGTTACGAGACCAAGCCCGAATGCATTTGGGATGGACAAAATGAAAGCTTTTTTGGGCCGTAATACGAGGCCATTCTCGCCTGCGTCTATCTTTAAGCTTTAAGGACCTTTTTTTTCTCACCAAAAGCAAACTACTTTAAGGCCCTTTTTTTTTGTCCCCAACATCCTAAAAAGATGACACTATTTATTATTATAAGTTATATTAATCTCTATTAAATATTTCTAATGTTGTTCAAAAGTTTAAACAAAAAAATTATAACTGACTTTTCTGTTATTCAAACAAAAATTGACCTCTGTCCTGATAAAAAAGAATAGTTCGCGAGTAACTTAAAATATATAAATATGAAAAGCTCATGATGTTGAGCAACATCCAAATAAGAGATCAAATCTTAAGATTATATTTATTTAAATGGGGCGTTATTTGAATTGTTGAAAAATAAGTGAAAAATCTACTGCTTATAACTTTTTTATCTCTAAAATAAAATCAACTGTTCGTTGTTGATGAGTAAGTAAGATAACTACAATTTAGAGAAGCACATTGGGCTCAATGCGTTGTGCCCCTGAATAATAGTTCCCTTGAGATAAATATGTTCATTTTTTCTCTATTTCATTTGTCATTTTTGTTGTTGTTGTTATTATCTAAATAAAAAAAGGAATTATTTAGGTGTGATTCTTTATGTAGTAACCCAATTTTATTCGAAAAATGTTAATTTTGTTTACAAAAATAGTAAAAAAAGGTATGTACAAAAAAGAATAAAAAAGACAAAAAAATATAAAAGACAAATGCAACACCTCAATTTTTATATTTTTATGGAGGGTAATTTAGTAATTTTCCTATAGTTTTTAGGCCAGACCAGCCGTTCCCGAACTACCAAAATACCTAAAAATTTTAGCCCGGAACGGGCCGTTCCCAAACTGGAACAGCCCGTTCCAAAAATGGCTGTTGTGAGTAAAATTGTAACCCCGGAACGGTCCGTTCCGGATTTAAAACGGGTCGTTCCAGTCCCTCCTGAAAGTCTATATATAGCGGCTCTTCCCCTTCCCAAAGGGCACCCACACACACACATCTCCACCTTGGACCAGAGGAAACCTAGAGGAGGAGACCAGCAAGTTATCGCTATTGTAGCGAAGAATTGTGAGTATATTAAACTCATTTCTTTTTATTTTTTATTTTTATATCTGTCAGTAATCCTTATTTAAATTCAAAATGTGATTAAATATCAAATATAGTGTTACAATATTTAATGTAAATATATAAAATTATTGTATCAAAATTTTGTTGGAGGAATGGTTAATTAGATGTGACATCTTTTTAACCTTTGAATTTAAAGTACAAGTTGTGACAACTTATCTTTAAATTTTTTCTCCAAAAACAAAAATGTTCAACCAAGAAATTTTTTAAGACCATAACATCTATAACAATAATTATAATTAAAATTTTATTGACTTTTGTGTACACCTTAGTCAATTTTATATTTTTAGGGTGAATGAACTATGACAGTTCAAGAATCCTATATTTAACTAAAATAAAATATAATTAAAAAATATCAACACATAAATATTTTCTACTAAAGAACTACGTGACTCTGATTCTTCATTATACATGAAGATACGTAGGAGTAAGAACTAAATCTTGTCGAGCTAAAAAATAAAAAATATATTATTTTATTTTTTATATAACAATAATAATTTTAACCTTTTTTATATATATACAATAATAGTTTAGTTAAATAAAATATATTTGATCATTTTAATGAGATAAATATTTTATAAATTATAAACAATTAGTTTAATTAATTAAAGGTAATCGTTTTAGGACGAACGTTGTGAGGTGCTAATACCTTCCTCACACGTAATCAACTCCCGAACTCAAAAATTTAGTTTTCGTAGATTATTTTCTATTTTATGATTTTTCCAGTGTTTTTCCGTAAAAAATAATATTGGTGATGACTCCTCTTTTTCAATTTATTTTTCGCCGTTCCATCGCGACTGAGTTGCTACACTTTATTAATCCAATAATTTAATTCGAGATATTTAAGTTGTGATAATTTGAATATAACAAATTATACAACAAATATCGTAGAGTGATCTTATATTCTTTAGATATAATCAACTCCTAAACATAAAATCTGAGCCTCAATTACGCAAAATTTCGAGATACATTTTTCACACCTTAATAACTTTGTCGGTTGCTACAACATATTAAAATGAATGGAGGCAACATTTTTAATGAGGTCATGCTAATGAGTTGCACAAAGATATAATTACAATGTAAGTTTCTTTTATTTACAGTTTAATTATATAACACGTTCATCATAAGACGTTAACTAATTCACAATGAATAAAAAATGAAGGGAGTAAGATGAAAACATAAGCCAGCACGTGACATGACATGACGTAAAACTGAACCCTGAAAAATGAGTAGTCAGAACATAACAGACTCAGAGGAATAAATGACAAAACAACAAAAACACAGAACGTACGCATGACACACATTCTCCTCTCCCTATCTGGAGGCTACCACGCAAGAAGTTTGCCCAGTTATTTTATTTATTTATTCCTAATATATTTATATTCTTAATTAGAAAAATATTACTTTACCATTCTTTAATTAATATTTTTTTATTATTAGTTAATTCTAATAAACTCTATCATTAAATTCGGAGGAAATATTAGAACATAAAATTTATAATTTTTAATAATAATAAAAGAATGTTAACAAGAAGGGATTATGACAAAAGATTTTTTGTTCTTGAGAATCACAAAAGATTGTGGTATCGAATTTTGTTGAAAATTTTAAAATAGATTATGAACCGTATAGACGTTGGGTGTTGAAGAATGGGCGAACCCGAGCAGTGGCAAAGTTATAGCAGAAGAGAAGAGAAGAGAGGAAGAGAGGAAGAGGAAATTTGCAGAAAAGACGAAGTCCTTTAATGGTATTAAATTGAGTGAGGATTAAAATGTGTTGAAAATAGGAGAGTTTGGTTTGAGAAAGTAGTGAGTGAGATGAGGAATGAAAGGAGGTGTGATTCGAAGCAAAAGTATGTGTTCCTTAAGGTTGCGGTGTCGTGTCTCTTGGTGGGTGTCGCTATTCGCATCCTCTTGGCGGATTCATTCAGCAGCTTCACCTTGTTATCTGTGGTGCACACACACACACCTTCTCCAATTCCTTCTTTTCCCTCTCCGCCTCCTCATTCTCTTCCTTCTCCCAATCCTAATCCTAAACATTTAGATGCAGTGAAGTGTGATCTGTTTGTGGGAGATTGGGTGGCCGACCCATCTGCTCCAATGTACACCAATGATAGCTGCCGTGTGATGGATGCTCATCAAAATTGCATCACCAATGGACGGCCTGATTCCGGCTACCTTTATTGGAGATGGAATCCAAGGGGTTGTCAATTACCCAAGTTCAGTCCAAACAAATTCCTTCACATTATGAGGGATAAATCATGGGCCTTTATTGGTGATTCCATCTCTCGCAACCATGTGGAATCGCTACTTTGCATTCTCTCTCAGGTACAATATTACTTTCTTCTGCTCACGTACCTTCTCATTCATATTCTTGCTTTCTCTAAGATCGTCTCAATTGTCCTCTTCGCTGGCTTGTTAAATCATAAGAAATTTAAATCATAAAATGCTTCTTCGTGTCTCTTTTTTCTTTTCTATGTTACAATAAAAGCCACCTCTAGTTGCCACACCCGGTGTAGTTCATGCTGTTATTTCGCCTAATTAGTTGCATAGATTGTTGGTGCTAGTTTATAGTTGATCATGAAGCATGCTTACAGCTAATAAGTAATCATTTGTAAGAGTACTTCAAATTTTAATTTATGAGATTGCACTGCAAATGTCTTTTTAAGGATAGTGATATGTCTCTATTGATAAAGTTGTAGAAGTAGGATTGTGGAAAACAGCTTGTGTTTGTGTGGTTGGTCCACTGCTTCCATGATAGTTTGGTGTCTATACTCAAACAACTTTACCCACCTCAATTTGGAAGTACTTATAAACATGCCACATTCTTTTTAAAATCCTACGAAATCCTAAACCAATACATCCCCCTTATATTGTTTCCACACATACATATTCTATATCATCTTTGTGCAACTTATTTTTTCTCTGTATTTTTTTATCACAATATATGTTATTTTATATATTTTTCTCTCTCTATGTCTCTCTCTTGTTTAAACGTGTAAGTGGGTTATTTTAAATCAGATTTAAATAATTACTTGATTCAATCAAAATTTAACAGGTTAATTTAAGTTGAATTTATATATTTTTTTCTTAAAAGTCAATTCAATCCAATTTGATTACAAGTGTGTTGGATTGAATTAATTAAAAAAAAAAAAAAAAGAGGTTTCTGTGTTTTTTTTTCTGATTATTAAAAATTATTCAAACACTTCTACACTAGATATCAATTATTTTAAGTGTCCACAATTTTTTTTTTTGGTTTAAGTTTGATACAATCCACAGTCACAGTGACAGCACATATTGACCTCGTAATTTAAAGTAGCACTCGCTCTTAAGCTAACATTTGGTTACCCTCCACATTTGTTTCTTATTCTATACACATGTGAATTGGTCATGACCTTTTTTTTTTCCAAGGCTTTTGAAATTTTCTCAACAGAAAAAATAATGAAAATTTTAAAAAATAGTTGTACTCGAGAATTCTTTATATTTAACAGATGTTGGAGTTGACCAGAACCTAAGGAAGATATCCAGCACTAAAATAGACAAGACCAAGTTTATCACTGAAGTATTTTAGTTAATCAATTAAACTATTGACTTTCTTTCATTGAAGAAGTAACCATTGAAATAAACACTAATGTAGCGTATACATATTAATATTAAAAAAAAAAAAAACAATCAGATAATCTCTCATGTTTTATTAAAAAAAAAAAGAGTGATTATTAAGTTTGCTAGCTAGGTGTGTGATCAATACGTAGACCCATTCAACTAATTTTCAAGGTGACTTTGTCTCTAGCAATAAACACACTTATATTACATTAGAATCCAAAGTAACATTGTAAATTTCATTAGACCCATTGACAAGGTCCTATTTCGTCATGGAAGTTTTCAACTCTAGGAATGATATCTTTGTTAAAAACAATGTTGCTAAGGGAAATTAGCATTGTTTGCTATAAATCTCACTTAGAAAATAAAAGAAAATCCATATATTCAAAGATTTAATGATTATATATTATCAGCATAAAAAATTTTATATAATCAACCAATCAAAATTATGATTTATATGATTTTTAAAATAATTATCATAAAAATTAATAAATTTATAAAAGATTTTGATTAGTATAAAATTATTTTATTATATCCATATCCATTAAACTCTATACTTAATGTAATCTCCAAGCAATACTTTGATGGCCATTATATTGAAAGTTAATAATGACACTTACGATTACTTCAATGTTTTAGAAAGAGTTTCGACAGGGAGCCTTAGCAATTGGAATGCTGACACCTTAAGTATATGTTTTTATTGACACCTATAAATGCATTTGAGAGTTGTGTTTTTTAAGAAAATAGAGGAAAATTTTAATTTCTAATAAATAATCCAGTTTGATATTTTTTTAAAGTTAAATAAATAAAATTATAGATTCGCATAAAATTAATATCCGAATGATTTTTTATATATATAAATATGATATAACTCTTTTAATTTAAAGTAGAAAATTTGTCCTTCATTTTTTTATATTAAAACTATACAACCAAATATTTCTTATATTTGGTAATTATCAATTTGACAAATGAAGCTTTTTTAAATTGCCTTGAAGATGTGTTCGTCTTAGTGTTAGATAGGAATTGAGATGGTATAAAATAAAGTGAATTCAATCTGGAATTACGTAGTGTTTAACATATTTTTTAAGCTTTTATTCCTCTTAAAATGAGAATATGGGTCAAACACATTTTATGAAAATCTATTGAAAATTTAAACATCTTAATTTATACATGAATAAATAAAAACAAATAGTTTATATATAAATTTATTTATTTTATAAAAGCTAGGTGAATGAAACTTGTTAAAATGATTTATCTTCGCTGCTCACTGTTTTCTTATTCTCTTTTGAATCATTTTCGTAAAGATATACAAGAGAAATAAATACGATCAAGAAAAAACAATAATGTAATGAATAATTTAATAAGATATAAAAGGAAATATAAAATACAAGGGAAGAGATTTATTTATTTTAAGAATAAGTTTATTCACGTTATTTAATAATTTATATTTTATATTAAATTTCAAAAGTCTAAGTGTGAAATTAAAACTTTTAATATATTAATTAAGTTTACAAATTTTTAAAAATTTTAAAAATTATTTGATATTTTATTTTATTAATTCAAATTGAAAGTATTTTAAATGTTGATTTAAATTTATATATCGAAGTATTATATAATTTTTTTAATTTTTTAAAAAAAATTAAAAACTTAATCTATATATTACAAATTTTTAATTTAACAGTTAAATCGTTAAAATTTAATATTCACATGTTATTGAGTCAAGTAAAAACCTATTTAAATATAAATTAAAAGTGTTTTTGAAAAATTTTCTAAAAAATAAAAGAGTTATTTCTTGTAAAAAAAACTTTTTTTTATAACATTTATAAACTTGTATCAAAAAAGTCTAAGTTTAGTAAGATTTATTCTTAGGGAGTATCTTGTAAGGAAAAAGTTTTTTTTATATCTAATTATATAATTTTTTAGAAAATGCAAATCTTGAAAATCATCAATTTTGATAATAATTAACATATGTTTGGTTATTCATAAAAGTTATTAAAAATATTCATACAAGACTATGAGTAATTAAAAATTTTCATATTTGGTTATAATAATATATTCCTAAGTATATAAATATTTTTCACAAAAACATTTTTTATTAAAATAAACTCATTAAATATATCTATTTACTCAAATTTTATTTCAAATATGATAGTAAATTATTTTTAAAAGTAAAAAATTTATTAAAATTATTTAATACAAAATTCAATAATATAAAAAGAAAAATATTATATTATAATTAAAAAGAACAAAAATATATTATTTTATTTCATTCAAATAAAAAAATATATTAACAAATACTATTAAAATATAAAAATAAAATAAACTTTAATAATATTATTAAAATTGTCAAAGTAAAGAAATAATGAGATACAATAAAAAAAAAATAAAGATATGGAAGGAAGAGAGATGAGAAAGTGAAGAGAAGCGGGTGAAAGTGAGAGAAACTAAAAAAAATAAAAAGGGAGAGGAAGAAGGAGAAAGTAAAAGAGAGAGAGGGAGGGAGACATATAAAAAGAGACTATTTTTTTATTTAAAAAGAAAATATTGCAATTTATATATATATTAATTCAAAAAAGTTAGGTTTTCAATATTTTTATAAAAAGTAAGATAAAAATAATTCTTACAAAAATATATTTTTTTTAAATAACTATATTTTTTATTTTGATTTATAAGAATTAAAAAATATTGGTTGTATAGATGAGTAAATGAATCTAGCCTCAAAATAGAATAAAAGGAAAAAATAATATATATTCATCATTTTCCATACAAAGACGAGTTATCTGTTCCCTCCATTTCATTTCATGGGTGATGGGTCCAACGGGAGGAACTTTTTTCGGTTGTGGGCCCATTCTTGTATTTCCATTTCAATCAAATTTCTTTTCACAGATTCCCATTCAAACAAACATACTGTAAAAGAATTTTATATCCCTCAAAAGAAAAACAGTCTCAGAATTCCTTCAACCAAATGCCTAAGGATTGATATTCAAATGGGATGTAGTAACGTTAATCTCAATCTAATACTCTTATTTTATTTTTCATTTCATGTCACGAAAAACTATAAATTGACGCTTTTAGGTTTTGAAACTCAAACACATTTGTTGCATAGCATTTTTGTTGCCAATTACTAGAAGTTCAATAGAAGGGTTTTTAAACATTAAATCGCTATGTTTTAAGTGTAAAGTTTAGTCATTGCTATACTAAAATTTTGATTTTCATATTTTAAGAATAAGAAAACTATTTTTAAGTCATAATTAACATTTGTTTTAAGACAAATAAGTAATACGTGGCATTTATTTTAGATTCATAATCTTTTGAAAATCACGTTTAAGAAGGGATCCAAAATCCTAATGAAGGAGACTAAATTTTTTAATGATAAATTTAAATAAATGTAAAATTATAGTCGTTAAATACATTATATCATTTCTCTAACTTATAAATGCCATTATAAAAACTATAAAATTCATCAACATTATAGAATATGTATTATTATTTAATTAATTTCTCGTTATAACTGTGTGTTTGGTTCCGCGTCAACAACATCTGAATCGCGTAAAAAACGTGAAAATCAGAAGCAAATATTACTTGCTTCTCATCAAATTGACATGATTCTCTTCGAAAACATAACTCAATACGCGAATCCAAACACATGCTAAAAAATAAATGATGGATGAAAAATCTATCTTTCATCGTATTTTTAAATTTAATTTTTTACTATCTACGTAGCTAAAAGTAGTCTCTCAATTATATAACAATTTAAGCAGAAAGAGCTAATTAAATAATAAGTTAAATATTTTCTTAATAATTACATATTTAAAATAATAAATATATTTTATCATAATACAAATTTCCAAAGAGTCATAGAAGACATTGAACATGACATCACATAGATAAAATAAGGCATCACTTGGAAGGATTATTTGATTTTCTAACAAATATATAATTTATTTAACTGATAACATATAATGACAGACCTCAAAAGTATTTATTTATTTTTTATTTTAAAGAAATAAGAATAAGAGAAAAACTTGTGTAGAAAAAGCAAATAAATTAAGGTTATTTGATAATAAGAAAAACATATTCAACAGAAAACAATTTACACTAATCTTAGAAAAGACATTTTAAAAAACATGAAATAACTTTTGACCATATCAAAATTGAAAAGGAAGAAAACAAGGCATAGCAAAAAGAAGTGTTTAACAAGTAAACAAGCGAAGGCAAGGCATATGCTGACTTTGTAGTATAATAAGAAGGCGCATATAATTGTGGAAGGTTGGAGTGGCACTAGCAAATGAAATGCCAAATACAAATTATATGATATCGTATTGAGTATTGAGTATAGAGAAGAGAAGAGTCTCTCATAAAATTATAATTTCTAAACCAAAAAAGAATGATTCCAACGACGTCGTTTCGAGGCACTCTCATTTCTCGTTTTGGACACAATTATTTGGTTGTTTCTCCTCGTTAGCATGCTACCTTGGAAAATGATCCTGTGTTTCTCGTACTCTCGCTCCTTTCTCTTTCAAGCCCAACACACTCATCAAATTCTGATTCTCCACTAATTTTGCATTACAGCTTCAGCTTTCTCAGTTTAACCTAAGATTCCCACCGGAAAACTTGTCCCCGCAGTGATTCTTAATTAATAATTACCCTTTTTTTTTCCCTTGTCTTTGGTGTTTGGATTCTTAGAAAAATACTAAGAAAACCCAAAAGAAGAAGCAGCAGCTGCAGCGGAAAAAGGAAAAGCGAGAAAAGAGTCCTCTTTCTCTTTTGAGTTTTGAGTCTTTTTTCTCTCTCTCTCTCTGTGTTGCTTTCACTTTGTGAACGGAAGCTTTGTTTGTTTAACAACATCACCACCTTCGACCCTTCCCTTTCGAACGTTGTTGTTTCCAAGAAGCCAAGCATTCACTTTTCGGAGAAACGCCCTCTTTTATATGCTTCTTTTTCTCTCATTTTCTCATGCCGTTGATGCTCTTTGCTTAGTTTAGTTACCAATGTCGGACTCCGCCAAGGTGCGATTGGTGCGTTGCCCCAAATGCCAAAATCTTCTTCCCGAACTCGCTGATTACTCTGTCTACCAATGTGGTGGTTGTGGTGCTGTTCTTCGAGGTACCCTTTTCTTCTTCTTCTCACATTGGTTTTCTTTTGACTCTTAATTTTAATGATCATGTGTTTTGTGGTGGAAAAAATTTGATTTTTAGTTTCTAATTTTAGTTGCCGTTTGATTTTAATTTGCAGCAAAGCATAAAGGTTACGTGAGTGGTAGCTTGTCCGATGAGGGGAAGGTTGGGGGAGAAAATTCGTTGGAGAAAGGCTTAGTGGATCGCAGTGATGCTTCGGATGTTGATGTTAAGTCCAGCAGTGGTCCCTCTATGGATGATAATCAAAGGGGTGTGGATAAAGCAGATAACATGGATGAGAGGTTTCAGAATCAATCAGGGGATATTGGTGAGAAAGGGGTTTTTGGTGATGATGTTGATGTCAATGGGAATAAAGATGAAGTGGGTAAAGCAATAGGAAGAGAACCTGAGGAACCTAAGTCTCAAATTGGTCATGAGAATGGGTCTAAAAAATTATCTGGGAGAATTTCTAATTGGCAGAATGGGGAGAGAAGTGAGATGGAGGGGTTTTGGAGAAAGCCACGAGCTGATATGGAAAATGTGAGGTTTTCCACTTCGAAATATCCTGATGAAGGACCTTCCAATGGCTACTCCAGTTTCTCTAGTAATTATATGGAACCATGGAGGAACCATAAAGAAACAAATGGTGTGAACATGGTTCAGCACCTTGAGCAGGATCGAGCTGAGCTTCTGAGGAAGCTGGATGAGTTAAAGGTCCACCTTGGTAAGTCTTCTGAAATTGTTAACAACCAAAAAGAAAAGCTTGTTCCTGATGAAAGGATGATTCCTCCGAATCCTCATCCTTATGGTGGTGGTTCTGATCCTTGGTTTTCAGATGGATCATCAGGGTTGAATAGAACTTCAAGGCAATTTTTTGGCACTGATAAGCATGTAGCTGGTTCCACTCTTTTCAATTATCATCCTGATCCTTATTCTTATACAAGTGGTCATGACATGGCTATGCCCAAATTCCCTCCTTCAATGCATAATCCAAATCGATATAGGGATCCTTTTGCATCCCAAATGCTGAGGAGAGGTCCACACCAGTTTCCACAACAACCATTGCATCCTTACTACTCCGGAAGGTATGTTGATACTAATCCAGATTCATATGAACTGTATGCACAAAATGCAATGCTTCACCCGCCTTCATGCTCTTGTTTACACTGCTATGATAACAAACGAAGAGGTCCCGTGGCGGCACCCCCTGCTTCATTCATTAATAGCAGATTCCCTGATGCCCCAAATGATCCAATGTTATACCATCATGAGATCCCAGGGGCATTTGGCCCACATGTTCATAATTCTAGAACTGCCATTCCTCCTGTGACTTATCGTGATAAACAATTACATGCAAGATGGGCTAGTGACTTCAACTCTGAGATGGGTGGTTTTGTTCGAACCCGTCCTCGCAAAGTAATGTTAGCTAGTAGTAGCCAGCGTTGCTATCCTGTAGCCGGTGGTTCTCCCTTCATCTCATGTCATAATTGCTTTGAGTTGCTGTTACTGCCTAAAACAGCATTGGTTCTGTTGAAAAATCATCAGCAAAAGGTGCAATGCGGGGCTTGTTCTTCTGAAATCAGCTTTGCTTTCATCAATAAGAAGCTGGTTATTTCTCCTAATTTAGAAACGAAGGGAGTTCCCTCAAGAGGTGATAACAGCTCTAATGAGGTCGCGAGTAGCCGAATGTCACATTCCCGTGGTCATGTGAACAGGACTGGTGCTAACTTCTCATCCGATGATTATTCTGGTTATGATTTTCATTCAGTAGACAGGGAACCTCTTTCTGTGGTTGCTTTGAACTCTGACAAGTCCCGGGATATGCAGAGTTTTCGTTCTTCATCTCTCAGTACCTCTGAGGATGAAAATAGTGCGGAAGCAATGATTGTTCCAAGGGAGGCCACTAAGTCCATTCATCAGCCAACTACAGACACTCTATCTCCTCCTGCTGGTTCACCTTTGCAGGAGTATTTTGATTACAATAATAATAACCATGCAGTAAATCGGTTTGGAAAAGGAAACCTAAGTAGTCGCTCAGAGCAAGAGAAGCCAAAAGTGGACAAGATGTCATCGCGTCAAAATTCTTTGAAAGAGGCAGCACTTGCAACCGAGATGGATGTCCATGATTATTCTAACACGGGGGTTTCCCAGGATTCTGGAGATGCTAGCCGAGAACATGATCATCCTAGATCCAACAAAGGGGGTGAATCATTTTTTGCAAATATTATCAAGAAAAGCTTCCGAGATTTCTCCCGATCTAATCATACAGATGATCGTAGCAAAATCAACATTACTGTAAATGGGCAGCCCATATCAGATCGTGTCCTCAAGAAGGCTGAAAAGCTAGCTGGACCAATCCAGCCTGGAAATTATTGGTTAGCATGCTTTGTGTCAGCTATAACCTTCTATACCATTTATGCCTGATGCTATTTTTGATTGAGATATATCAGAGGGATTTAATCAATTCCTGTTGTAGTTAGTGGATTCAGTTAAATTGCATTTGTCTGTAGAATGCATTCACTGACAAAATAAAATTGAGTTTCATGCTTAGATTCAGTTTGCAGAATAACATTTCTAGACGTGTTATATCGTAATTTCAAACAAATTATAATTTTTCAGCTGATTGCTTATGTAGTGTACTAACAGATTTTCCTTTGTACAGGTATGATTTTCGGGCTGGATTTTGGGGTGTCATGGGAGGGCCTTGTCTTGGAATAATTCCTGTAAGTTATACCATTCTATCATGATCTGTTGGTTGTATGCTTATATACATATTAACTAAATGAAGTGATTTCTCCTGCAGCCATTTATAGAAGAGTTCAACCATCCCTTACCAGAGAAATGTTCTGGTGGGAATACTGGTGTTTTTGTAAATGGTAGGGAACTTCACCAAAAAGACTTGGATTTGCTAGCTGGGAGAGGACTTCCAACAGATACAGATAGATCTTATATCATTGAAATTTCTGGGAGAGTCCTGGATGAAGACACAGGTGAAGAGCTTGACAGCCTTGGCAAACTTGCACCAACGTAAGTGATATTCTGTTCCTATTATCCTATAATTAATGCACTAATGTTCCTATTATATGCATGGAGTTGGAGCTAATAGTGTTTTACTTATTAGTTATTAATAATTCACTAAAAACACAGTTTCACTATAGCAGGCAGTAGCTGGTTGTTTGTGAATCATTATGTTGTGCTGTGAATCACAGTTTCTTTTTTGACAATTTAACAGAGTGGAGAAAGTGAAGCATGGATTTGGCATGAAGGCACCTAGGGCAGCTACATAATCAAAATGTAGAAAGAAATATTCTGCGGCAGGTTTGAGAATATGAATTTTATCCCATCCTTCTTAAGTCTGATACAATAACATTATTTGGGTTTGGGACCTGACACTGGATCAAATCTGGAAATATTAGCAAGATTACTTGAAGTTCTTCCTTTGTATGACCAGTTCAAGTGGTTTTCTGCATGGCTTGAGTTTAGATTTAATATATAATGTGTAATTTTTTTTTAAAAAAAATTCTTCATGCTAAAAAAAAAACTGCATTAGAAGTTCTGTGCTTAATATGAGGTAGTCTTAGGAAAAGTTAAAGTAATCATGCGGAAAGTCTTGCATCCATTGTAGAATTTGATGTGTAAATTTTTTTAATTTATTCCTTGGTCAGTTTGTAGTAGTTATGCATTTCTAAGTGAATCATGGAAATATTTTATTATGATCTAAATCAAGATCAGTTGCCTGTATGTAATCTTTTTTCCCCCACCTTTGTATCTTATTATTAGGAAGGGAAAAAAACTTAAACAAGAATTATGTGCTTGATTCTATCGCCTAGATTCGGGACATAGGTAAAAATCATAGTGTGCGGTGTGCCTGTGCCAGGTCTTGCATCTCTAATTTGATTTGTAATTTTATAAATGATTCCCTCATTCTAGAATTTTTGACCCTGACTTTTTCTAACTTAGCGATTAAAATAAGTACGGTTAATATTACTTGACGTTGGCGGGAACGTCATACTGGGGACCCGTTAATAGTTGAAGATTTCACCATTTCTTTAGTGAATTCATGTGTCCCATTTCGTGTTGTCCACTTTAAGTGATTCTTGTTCTAAAGAAATTGCGGATATGGGATAGGTTCTTCGGTTTCAGTTACCAATTATCAAGACCAAATGACAAATAAGTTCGTCATCACCTTGATCCTGTAAGCCCTGCACCTCTTCTTTTGTCCAATCTGTTCACACTTTTCACCATCTTATCGGTTTGTAGTCCTGTAATCAGGTTGATTTTATAAGTATTTTTTAAAGATAAAACTTAGGTACAACTTTTTAAATTGTTGTTGGTACTGTTTTTTTTAATTAAAATGAGATTTTTATCTTGATAGGATATGTAAATATATATTAACGAGATTTGCATTAAATGTAATTATATATTGTCAAGGAATTTTTTTTATTCTGATTGAAAAACTGTATCAATTTCATCCAAAGAATTGTACTTAAATTTTGTCCTACTTTTTATGCTAAAGAAGAGAAAATAACAGAAAAATTAAAATAAGAAAACAAATCCGAGTGGTGCAAAGTGCAAATTTCAAGAGGACTGATTTGGAGAAAATATTATTGCAAATTTCAATGTACATTTGCTGATTTTAATGTATAGAATGAGAAAAACAAGAATTTATTACTTTGAAAGTAAAAGTATTTTTAAGCTTTCCTGGCTGAAAACCAGGCCATACATTACTAAGGTACAAAAGCACCATGAGTACAGCATCACAATTAAATTCAATTACTTGCTATAATAATGTTCTTTAGGTTGAGCTATAGCAATTAAATCATCCCAACTTTGGCACTAGATGTGTTTGCCATAGGGACCAATCTATGTACGTACCTGTTCTAGGAAAACAAAAATGAACCTCTCCACGATCTTCTTTACTTTCTTTTTGCGTCTCCTATGCTGTCTCGTACATTTTTATTTTATTATTCAACTATTTTTATGAGTGAATTTTTTATCTTCTGACAATGAGGTGGAAAAGAACTTATTTCTCGAATAGTCAAGCATGCCAAAAGTCTTCAATGGGCAAGCAGAAGGGGAAAAAATTAAAAGGGGTTGTTAGTGTAATCCAACATGATTGTCAGAACGAGAAAGAAAAATTGAAGAACACAATAAATGGGTTGAATAAAATTCATATCAGGATGTCTCCACCTTTTAAAAAAAATATATATATATATAATGAATTAATAATGAAAAGGATGTTTGACTGTATGAGGCGATGAGCTGGTCTTGAACTTTCAGTTTTCGCTTTGATTTTTGCAGTCCACGCACATCAGAGGATAGTGAGAGTTAAAGAGAATATTTATGACTAAATTTATGATGGATACTATTTACAACATTATTTATGTTAAAGAAATATTACTCCTATTAGTCACCTTAAAATTAAATTGAAAGGTTATAATAAAATATTATCGCTGGAGATGAAAAATGCAAAACTAAAATGTGGACCATGATATAAGGCTAGCTACTTAACTCATTATATATATATCTTCCTCTCCCTTAAAAGACAAGCAAGAAGCATATGGTCCCCACAATAGCTAAATGTAAGCCTTTAACTATTGCTTCATCTAATTATGCACATTTCCTGGTTTTCTCTTCAGTCAGCACAACTGAATCTTGTAAAGCTAAAACCCTTAAACAAATACTCCGAAACTACGATCTTAATTTAGCTGAGGCATTGTGATTTGTGATAATTGATATTGAGCCTGTCTAACCTACTGATGCTTGAGGTTAATTTACACGTGTTAAAAAAAATATTTAATGTTATCTATTTACTAATATATTCAGTTTAAAATAAATATTTCATATTAATAACATAATTATAATATATATATATATATATATATACTCCACTTATCTGAATTTATTTCATTCAATAATTCATGTTTTACATCAAATCTCAACGATCCAATCCTTAAATTTAAGGTTTTTAATACATATATCAAATCTGTAAATTTAAAAAAAATAATCAAAAATTATTTGATATTTCGTTTCATTAATTCAAATTAATAATCATAAAAATATTTTATACATTGATTTAAATTAATAAAAAAAAAATATTAAATGATTTTTAAATTTTTAAAAATTTGTAAATTTAATTTATGCATTAAGAACTTTAAATTTAACGATTGAATCGATAAAATTTGATGTAAAATATGAGTTAAACGAAGTAAATTTAGATAAACTTACTCTTAGAGTAAACGAATCCCTCCTCTCCCAATCTTATTTGGCTCTATATAAACCTGTCCTGTACTCTGTTTCAGTCACTTAATGAATTACATTCTTTTGCCTATTGTAAATCTTCTCTCATCTCTCTCTCTCACTCGCTCTCTCTCTCTCTCTCTCTCTCTCTCTCTCTCTCTCTCTCTCTCTCTATATATATATATATATAATTTATTTAATACTACTTCAAGTTTTTCTCGTAAGAAATAAAGAAAATCACATCAATAAAACTTTCCTTCTAAGCAAAAATAGTATATATTATTACTTTTTATTTTCAATATTGATATAAATCATTTAATTTTAAATTCTATCTAAATTAAAATAATTTAACAAAATTAATTTAATTTAATCCCATCCTAATGACTAATGACATTACTTGCTTAAATCTCACTTAAGGAATAATAACACATTTTTTAAGTATATTTTTTTAACATACTCGATGTCAGGTAGAATTTATTAAAATTTATAAAATTAAAATAGAAAAATATTAAATAGAGTGTGAAACTCAAATAAATAAATATATATATATATATATATATGTGTGTTTTCTAATAAAATTTAATTAATAAAAAATATATTTAAAAAAGTGTATGAAATAATAGCATTATTATTATTTTTTTCTTATACTAAATATTTTACTCCTTTCATTTTTTATTCATAATTATTTTGTTAGAATTTATTTTTCTTTTTTCATTGTTATTTTATTAAAATTAATAATTTATTAATATTTTTTTATTTTTATTCTTGATAATTAATGTATATTTACTAAATAATGTATCTATTTATTTATAATTTCTACTTATTTTTTCTCTAATTATTTATGTAAAGTTAATGTTATATTTAAATGGATAATATATTTTTAACAAAATACTGAGTAATAAATATTTTTAAAAATTAAAATATTAATCATTTTTTTAAATTTCGTACAAATTTTAAATGATTATGAATAAAAAATGAAGGGAGTAAGATGAAAACATAAGCCAGCACGTGACATGACATGACGTAAAACTGAACCCTGAAAAATGAGTAGTCAGAACATAACAGACTCAGAGGAATAAATGACAAAACAACAAAAACACAGAACGTACGCATGACACACATTCTCCTCTCCCTATCTGGAGGCTACCACGCAAGAAGTTTGCCCAGTTATTTTATTTATTTATTCCTAATATATTTATATTCTTAATTAGAAAAATATTACTTTACCATTCTTTAATTAATATTTTTTTATTATTAGTTAATTCTAATAAACTCTATCATTAAATTCGGAGGAAATATTAGAACATAAAATTTATAATTTTTAATAATAATAAAAGAATGTTAACAAGAAGGGATTATGACAAAAGATTTTTTGTTCTTGAGAATCACAAAAGATTGTGGTATCGAATTTTGTTGAAAATTTTAAAATAGATTATGAACCGTATAGACGTTGGGTGTTGAAGAATGGGCGAACCCGAGCAGTGGCAAAGTTATAGCAGAAGAGAAGAGAAGAGAGGAAGAGAGGAAGAGGAAATTTGCAGAAAAGACGAAGTCCTTTAATGGTATTAAATTGAGTGAGGATTAAAATGTGTTGAAAATAGGAGAGTTTGGTTTGAGAAAGTAGTGAGTGAGATGAGGAATGAAAGGAGGTGTGATTCGAAGCAAAAGTATGTGTTCCTTAAGGTTGCGGTGTCGTGTCTCTTGGTGGGTGTCGCTATTCGCATCCTCTTGGCGGATTCATTCAGCAGCTTCACCTTGTTATCTGTGGTGCACACACACACACCTTCTCCAATTCCTTCTTTTCCCTCTCCGCCTCCTCATTCTCTTCCTTCTCCCAATCCTAATCCTAAACATTTAGATGCAGTGAAGTGTGATCTGTTTGTGGGAGATTGGGTGGCCGACCCATCTGCTCCAATGTACACCAATGATAGCTGCCGTGTGATGGATGCTCATCAAAATTGCATCACCAATGGACGGCCTGATTCCGGCTACCTTTATTGGAGATGGAATCCAAGGGGTTGTCAATTACCCAAGTTCAGTCCAAACAAATTCCTTCACATTATGAGGGATAAATCATGGGCCTTTATTGGTGATTCCATCTCTCGCAACCATGTGGAATCGCTACTTTGCATTCTCTCTCAGGTACAATATTACTTTCTTCTGCTCACGTACCTTCTCATTCATATTCTTGCTTTCTCTAAGATCGTCTCAATTGTCCTCTTCGCTGGCTTGTTAAATCATAAGAAATTTAAATCATAAAATGCTTCTTCGTGTCTCTTTTTTCTTTTCTATGTTACAATAAAAGCCACCTCTAGTTGCCACACCCGGTGTAGTTCATGCTGTTATTTCGCCTAATTAGTTGCATAGATTGTTGGTGCTAGTTTATAGTTGATCATGAAGCATGCTTACAGCTAATAAGTAATCATTTGTAAGAGTACTTCAAATTTTAATTTATGAGATTGCACTGCAAATGTCTTTTTAAGGATAGTGATATGTCTCTATTGATAAAGTTGTAGAAGTAGGATTGTGGAAAACAGCTTGTGTTTGTGTGGTTGGTCCACTGCTTCCATGATAGTTTGGTGTCTATACTCAAACAACTTTACCCACCTCAATTTGGAAGTACTTATAAACATGCCACATTCTTAAGTCACGCACTTGACTCATTCTTAAGATTCGTAAAACATTAAAAGTTAGTTTTGTAGAGTTGACTAGACACTTAACCCACATTTTTAAGACTTGTTAAATTGATTTATCTGTTGGAGCTTGATTGGATACAAGGTAGAAAGCTTGTATCCAAATATGGTCTTAGTGCCTTTAAATTTGTGTAAGTTATTGTGTGTTGCAGGTGGAAGTAGGTGTTGAGGTGTACCATGATGAGGAATATAGATCAAAGACATGGAAGTTCCCCTCCTACAACTTCACCCTCTCAGTAATATGGAGTCCATTGCTTATGAAAGCAGATATATTTGAGGACATGAATGGAGTTTCCTCTAAAGAAATACAACTTTATCTTGACACTGTGGACGACAAATGGGCCAACCAATACAAGAATTTTGACTACGTTGTAATTGCAGGTGGAAAGTGGTTTCTCAAGACAGCAATATACCATGAAAACAACATGGTAACAGGTTGTCACAACTGCCATGGAAAGAATCTAACAGAGGTAGAATTCCAATACGTGTACCACAAAGTACTGAAGAAAGCTTTTGAATTCATGGCAAACTCAGAGCACAAAGCAGTTGTTTTCTTCAGAACCACTACACCAGAGCACTTTGAGTATGGAGAATGGTTCAATGGAGGGCATTGCAATAGGACAGTGCCCTTCAAAGAGGGACAAATAAATTTGGGTTATGAGGATTCCATCATGAGAGACATTGAACTTGAGGAGTTCCGCAAGGCACAGAATGCAAGTGCCCATAAATTTAAACTTTTGGACACTTCTGGGCTCTCACTTCTGAGGCCTGATGGGCATCCAGGCCCGTTTCGCCAATTCCACCCTTTGCCCAATGCTACGGTCCAGAATGATTGCCTGCATTGGTGTCTCCCAGGCCCAATTGACTCCTGGAACGACATACTTTTGCAAATGCTCACAATGTGATCATTTATGTAAATGATCTTTTAAAACAATTCTTTATTAAACATACTATTTCTATGAGGGTAGTTTTTAATAAATTTTGACCAATAATAAAGAGTGTGTTTGAGAGTATAATATACACATATCATATGAATTGAATATGATTACTAAAGAATACCGAAACGTGAAATTAGGATTAAACAGAATTGAAGAGGGCCAAATAACAACATTTACGCTACTTGCAAGACGAACAGATTCATTGATATTAGGGTACGTAAGCGGATCACTATTCATTGGAGACTCATATATACTGGGCCACGTTCAGGTCCATGTCCAACAATCATCGACAAAATTCCAATCGGCCCAAAAGATATAAGCCTCTTCATGTTCTTTTTCTTTTCTTTTAATTGAATTCCCACGAATCGATTCATTCACTTTGTTTGATTGTGTTCCTCTTCATGTTTTTCTTATGAATAACTACATCGATTTCTTTACTTTACGTGATTAATGAGACTGTCTACTTGATAAGATCAAGCGAGTAAATGACACATGTGCTGACATGACTTACTTGTACATTTTGTATCTCACAATTGTGATATTAGTGTTAATAAAAAGTATAATTATGTTCCGTCAACTTATGAGTTAAGTCATACTACGTCTTTGTAGTTTTATCAACATGTTTAGTATCATGTTATCAAGAGTCGATTTAACAATAAGTATGACTTCAAACAATTTTTTTAAAATGTAAAATGTATATATTAGGTCTTTTTGTCAATATGTAAGAATAAGATCCTTATATTAAGGTGTGTGACCTTTTACTTTATCAAAATTAATAGTAAAACATTTTTTTATGATAAATCTAATGCTTAAATTTTAGTATAGTTACTCTTATGATAATATTAAATGTCACATCAGTAAAATTTGTTAAATATTTAATGAAATATTGATAATAGGATAAAAATTATACAATTACAATATTTATATATTTTCTGTTTAGGCCATTGAAATTTTGAGAGAATATGAAAAAGTTATGATATTTGAGAGAAAAATAAAATTATAGTTAAAAATAAACTATCAAATCCATTATAAAACTTAAACTCGTCTACATTTATTAGATAATTTGATTGACGGGTCTTTTATGAACTTCGTATCGTTGATATGATAAAAATTTCAAAGCTCATTCCAAATAAGACGTAAAGTACTGAAGTTCACAAAAGACAAATTTTAAATCATGATATATTACTATTCTTTTTAAACTTCTATCGCTTCATAATTGACCCAAATTTAAATTCCAAATCTTGCACTGTAGCTTCACGAGTGTACTCAATAGTAATTTGTCACGTGTGTTGAAAGATTACTTATCAAGTCAAATCGAAATAAAATATTAATATTATATCGGTGACAATGGGTTATGATAAATTAGACATTATAGGGTTTGAATGCAGCTTACTTATTGATTTTAATTCCTGATTTTGACGTACTTAAAAGTTTAGATTTGTTGAAACTCTGTTAAGACCTTCTAAATAAATTAATAAATTTAATCTTAAACTGGTATAGCGTACATTATTTTAGTAAAATTAATTTAAAAATATAAATATTTTAATTTAAAATATGTTTTAAAAAATTCAAAAGTGTTATTGCAAAATAAATAAATTTAATAAAAACTAATGGAGTTGAAACATTTCATGCCTTTATATTTATTCAAAAATATTTAAAATTATTAATGTTTATTGAATAAAGTGATATTGTGTCTAGTCTTTAAATTTTAAAATCTCAAATTTAAATTTTTGATTTATAAGTGTAATTAATTATTATTATTATTTTTTATTATTTAAAAATTTAAGAATAAAATGGTTTAAAAATTGTGTATACCAAAACATTAAATTATTTTTATATATAGGTATAGATTTAGTATAAAAGTATATTTTTTATTTAAAAAGTAAGTGTAAAAATATTATCAATTGCAACATGCAATTAGTTTAAAAAAATATAATTATCGCTTCATAATATATTTCTACTTGAAATCTTTAATCTTGTAATGAGATATTTATTATCCTTAAATATAATTCAAAAAGCATGAGTAAGAAAGACAATGATATCTTGTTTTGAATATAAATCACGACAAAAAAAATATTTATTAAAATGGTCATATTATATTATATTATTTAATTGATAATAAATTCAAATAACACTTTTTCATCTTAATTTCACGTGTAAATAACGTTAAATACAAGCATTAACAGATGTAAAGCTTTAAATTGATTAAAATTGTATAGTCTCAAATATTGTTATATTTTTGCTTCTTTCTTTTGTAATAAAATGTGACACATTAATAATAAAACAATGTTGATTTAAATTGCTTTTATTATGTTTTACAAGTTAAAATAAATCTTTGTTGCATATTAAATTTTTTTTCTATACGCATAAAGGATTGAATATCGTACTATATATTTAAAAAGGCAAAATTATTTACCAACTAATTACACCTCCAAAAACTAATTTGATATAAATGAAAGAAATAATATCATTAAATTGATTTTTCCCCGTCCAAAATCGATATATTTTAAACAGTCGTGCACTTTTTTTTTAAAAGATAGTATATGATATTATTAAAATGAAAGAGGGATACATTATGAGAGATAAAACATAAAAGCATGGAAGCTTTGGTTGGTGGTTTGGTATATGATCCAGTCATAGTAAACACGTGATGGAAAGAAAAGGATAACTTTGGTACATAAAAAGCATCACTATTACTTTTCCTGCCAAGTGCTAGCATGTGACTGCAGTCACTAACATATGACATCAAATTCAAAATTATAACAATGGTTACTTCCCTTCCCGTATTTTCCATGCTAGCATGCAGTAGTAAATTAATTAAGATGAGATCTCCAAATCTATCTATTTAATTAAGAACCACTGAGAGCTTAATGCTTCAGATGACAGATGCAACTGAACATTGTTATCGAACTAAATTTGCTTTCTACAAAATTTGAAGACAATGCATAATGCATTTCCCTTTGACTAAACACCCATCTGTTTCTACTTTCTAGGAGTCCCAACCAGTAGACAAAATTAAGTCAACCTGGAAAAATACTTTTTTATATGAGATATTTTTAAAAGTTGAATTTTTTTACCATTTGATTTTCAAAATTGAAATAACACTTTTCTCTCTAGGAGCCTTCATATGTGAGTTTTAGTTTGATAGTTAGCTAAAAGAATCTTTAAAATTTTGATTCTTACATAACAAAAGAATAGTTTGTATCTTTCCTTGTAATAAAAATATTCTTGAACCTTATAGTACTTTGATTGATTTTCATGGGTGAAGATGAAAATTAAGATTTTACTCTTTTTGACTTTTCTTTCTATATTATCTATCTTATATGATGGTTAGGGTTTGAGAGAATATTTTTCTATCAGGAAGGGGACCTTATTTCATTTTGTGACAACTTTTACCTTTGTCTAATTGTGTGTTTTATTTGTTTTCCTTTAATACAATCGGAAAAAATATTTAGATTCGTAAAACCTATACTCGAAATAATTTCATTCTTTATTAATCTTTTCATTCTTTCTCTAAAAACGTTATCCAAATGTTTGTTACTGTTCTAATGCAAAGTTGAGAGGGTTTCAACATACAAACATCTAAATTTAATTTATATTAACCATCACGAAAAATATCAGTGTCAATGAGATGATTATGCTTAAATAAACTAAAACATCCATCACCAAAATTGAAAGAGTATCTAATAACATCAAGTTTAGATAATAAAGTCAAATTCCTAGATAAACTAGGTTCATAAAGAAATTCTAATAAATATAAATGATGTCTGATGTCTAATCAACCTTTAGACGATCTATAAGTGACTTATAATAATGAATTTTAATATACACATAAATCAACAATCATATTATTTAGCATCCATTATTCTATGGGTAATTGAACTAGATAATTGTTAATTTAGAATTAAATAAATATAGAAATTTGGTCATTTTAGTGACTAAAAAATTCATCAACACTTAATTCCAAGATACACGCAAAGAGCAAACAACTTGCTATTACAATTGTGATTCTGGCTTAAACAGACAAATGCATACATATAAAATATGAGCCTTTATCATTCTCATTAAATAATCATAAAAAAATGATTAAATCATTAAAATCAATCGCATTAAAAGCATTTCAATCATAAAGAAAACAATAGAAAAAATCTCATAATTCCATTCAATAAAAATAAAATATAATTAATATGTTTTTCTTGTTTAGGGATACATGAGTTAAAAAAGCCAATAAAACAATCGTGATTCACAAATGTGGAAGACATTCAATCAAAAAAGAAATCCTTAACATTATTAAAGTTTTACGACAAATAATTAGATAAAATAATTTCATCAATTACATAAAAAAAAAGTTCAACAAAAATAAAAATCCCTAAAATTTCATAATCAAGGTTTGTACATAATTGGAAAAAAACAACATTTGAAAATCATATAATTTCACAACATATGTTTTGATACCACATGTAAGTTTTAGTTTTCTTAGACTATTAATTATAAAGAACTAAAGGGGGTCATTGAAATTCATGATTCTCACATAACAGGAATAATACGTATCTTTCTTCATAACGGGAATCTCCTTAAACCATAGAGCACTTTGATCTTTTTGAGAAAAGAGAGAGATCAAGGTTTCATTCTCTTTGACTCTTTACCTTCTACTATCTTTATTTTCTATGGTGGTCAGGGTTTGAGAGAATACATCTCTGTCAAGGAGAGAATCTTGTTTCACGTTAATGGATATTTATAACCCCTTTGTTAGGAACAAAAAAAAATTGTTTCTTTTGTGCATAAGGATTCAAACAAGTCAACACCACAAAGAAATAGAAAAAGATCACACAAAATTTTATTTAACATGGTTTAGTCTTTCATACCTACCTTCGCAATGAATTTCATTATCTTAAAATGTATTACATGTGTATTCTTGAAAATTCTCCCTGCAAGATTTGTGGGTGAAACATGAAAATCTTTTCTCACAAGTTTTACGAGTGAAACTTGAAAACTCCTTCCTCACAAGTTTTTTAGTGAAACTTTGAAACTCTCCTCCACATGATCCCATCTCTCATTTAAAGTAATGACCCCTCTACAAATAGGGTGATTCTTCTCATTTTAAGAGTCTTTATTTATTGACCTAATATCCTAATCTTAAAAGAGATTTTTTTAAAAATAAATACAATATATGTCCATTATAAACAATATCCTAAAAGAATTATTATTTTTTAAAATCTAAGCAATACATGAGAGATTTGAATTTGGATAATTTGAATTGTTTTTCCAAAAAATTTTCCCTTGATTAAAATTTTCAAATTTG